TATGATATGTCGAAAACAGAGTACTGCCGGTGAGATTGGCAGCTTAATTTCAACAAGGATTAGTTTGCCAAAGGATTTCACGTCAGTATATAATATAGCTACGTATTCTACTTACCTCGCACTCTACCTATAGACGCCTTGTATCGTTAGCAATCGAGAGTTTTCAAAGCATACCTTTACTTTGCATCGACTGAGCACCCCTGAGAATGTGCTCTCGCGAGTAGGCGACTGGTATTGCGGTTTATATTATCCCAATCGTAATTGATATTGATCGTTGATCTGACTCTACCCATATGCCGTTAAATATCATTGCCCTAGTGGCGGCCTGTATGTTGTCAATATGCAAAGGCTCTCCAACATGCCCCTTGGAAGGACCCGTGTTCCCCAAACCGTTAAGTATCGCAGAGAATGAGGCTGTGAAAGCGGCTATCTCGAACTTGACCGAGACGTTCAAAGGCATCACGGATAGCGCCCAGAACTACTCGTTCGCACTAGAGGTTTTCTCGGCACATAATCCAGATCCCATCTTCTCAGTATTACATACAGCACCAAACTTATTAAAGATGAATACCACGGGAGTCAAGTCAGTGGATGAGAACACAATCTTTCGCTTGGGGAGTTTGACGAAAATCCACACAATTTACACATTTCTCGTTAATGCAGGTGATAAGATATGGAACGAACCCATCACAAGTTATGTTCCTGAGCTCCAGACATTGGCAAACTATTCGGACCCCGTGGCAGATACCGCGTGGGAAAAGGTCACGATTGGCGGCCTCGCCACGCAGATGACAGGTATCCCACGGGATTGTAAGTTGCAACTTGGGGATTGGGCCGCACAATGACTCGATAACTGATTGGAAGTTAGACGGCTTATTGGGAGAATTGACACAAACGCCGACAACACGAGATAATGTGTTGCAGTATGGATTTCCCCCATTAAGTGCCCAGGACCTCCCCCCTTGTGGGGATTTTCCTACTTGCAGCCGGAAACGTGAGTCTCTCAACTCACTAGACGACTTCTACTCACCTTTTGCAGAGTTCTTCAGTGGTATCGAGCAATTTTAGTAAATATCCTACTTGGCTATCCAATCCCATAATTTTGCTTCTTTTTCTTACAATCAGAGGTTGTACTAATTCTCTTGCCAAGTCCATCATTACCTCCATTTACCACCCCTGCATATTCCAACGTGGCATTCCAACTACTGTAAGTAATATAGGTGACGAAACGTGGTTCCTGAAATAGTATCCATTTGACAAGAGATATTCAGATGTTATGCCATGGAGACTATCACAGGAAAGACCTTCGAGTCCCTACTAGAGGAGACAGTTCTCAAGCCACTTGGCCTGAATCATACGTTCTTAAGAGCTCCCGAGGATTCACGGGGCATCATTCCAGGTGATCCAGAATCGACAGGATGGTCGTTTGACCTAGGTGAGGCCGCGGGGTAAGATATCTTTTTCCCAACTTATCTGCTCTTCCACAAAAAGAAAAAGGCAAAAAAGGCAAAAAGAGAATGAAAAGAATACGAGAGGGAGTGATACACAGCCACCACGGAAGTTGACAGTTGTGCAGAGCCGGAAATATATACACCTCTATTGGAGATTTATCGGAGATTGGGCGTGCAATACTTAGCTATAAGCTTCTCGACCCTGTCATGACTAGACGCTGGCTCAAGCCATTTTCATTCTCTACCGACCCACATGCATCCGTCGGCGCCCCGGTGAGTCATTCCCAGATTATTATTTTCTTCCTTTATCATTTACTGAGCCGGTGTGGTGTAGTGGGGAGCAAGAAGGATCAATGTTGCAGGGCAACCATATCGCTGGATCACAGCATTCAACAAAGCTGGGCGCATTAGTGATTATAGTTCTGTTCTGGCCATAAGTACGTAAGATATTATTCATTAGTATAGTTTAAAATATGTCAGGTTTGATCAATCTATCTGGTAAACAGTCGCCCCTTTTCGCTATGATTGCTGACTTTACCGTCTTCAGTTCCAGATTATGATATTGGGATATCGGTTCTTTTAGCAGGAGATCTACCTGCCAACGCGAATTTTAACCTTCTAGGTACGTATTACCACAGGCAAAATAAACTAAACCAGAAAGCAGATTTTGATCTATTCATAGACATCGTTGGAGGACCTCTCATCCCAGCAATCGAAGAAGCAGCTCGTGCCGAGGCGGGAGCCATTTACAATGGACACTATGCTTTCACCAACCTTACCCAGCTCAACTCCTCGATGACCATTGAGACGGATGATCAACCAGGTCTGAAGGTGTCACAATGGATCAGTAACGGAACTGATTTTGCTTACATATCTACAGTACTGCAAAATGGTACGAAATCTAACGATCTGTATCTCTATTACACTATGCTTTTAGGGCGCCGCCCCAGAGTCTCGGATTTTTTTTGGTCTCGATAAACAGATACTGATGGCTTGATTTAAACAGGTTACCTTCCCTTAACGCCTCGGATCCGACTGTACCCCACGGGACTTGAAGGACAGAGCTCTAGCGGGGGTAAACGGGTCGTGTTCAAAGCCGTATTTGAGGATGCGGATGCACCATCGCAGGCGGCAGTGATGTTCTCTACGGATTGCGCGACTTGGATCAACGTCGCATCCGTCATCTACGGGTCGGCAGCCATGGATGAATTGATATTCGACATGGATGCGACTGGGAAAGTGAACAGTATCACTTCACCGTCTTTAAGAGTGACTTTAGACAAGAAATAGGCTCTATCTGTCTTGACCTTATTCTATTACTAGTTCACTTCTTCAATATTAAGCAATTGTATTCGGCCCATGTGTGTGCTTCCTACTTCTCTTCTGTAACTGCTACCGGTTTAAGAGCAGGAGGTGCGTGCCTTTCAAATTGTCCTAGATAAGCAATTACTTTGAAGAGTACTATGCATTCGGCCGTATTATCGCGCAAGCAATGGCGAAAGGTAAGGAACCTCTATTGGTTTTGCCGGGCCGGTCGGCTAGACGGAGACAGGATGATAGAGTGATGGCGGGGCCGGGACTGGCTCTCGACTCCTATTTTAATCACTCTAAAGTGCGTAATTCCACAATGTGTAACTCTTATGAAAAGCGGAAAAGTCACCGAAATAGCAATGGTGCATAGAGTATATACGAAACACTGTGATTGATTGTCTAATAATCTGCAAGGATGATAATGGCATGATGAGGAATGGAGGGGTGATCTTTCCGGAGGATCAAGCAAAATATTACAACTTTCGGACTCAAGAACTTGTCCGGGTTTTCCGGGGCATCTCGATCCACCTTCTCAGTCCGTCAACATATAAAGTGGGCAAATGTCACGATGACGAAGGCCGACGTATCGAGTTCTTAAGCTCTACTTTTAGTAGCATATAGTTCAACAGTTGCCAGTACTTTACTGAGATTTCAATCTATTTTCCCTCTCATCGCTATCTTATACTGCATCGACAACAGACACCATGCCTTTCTTATCAACTCCCCTGACTATCGCGGCTACTGGCAGCATCGTCGGCTCAGCCTGGATATCCGGTAAAGCACAATTCACCATATGTTTACCTACAGTAGGCTACGACCAAACTAACATCTTCTACATAGGCGGCATCGGGGCTCTAACCATCAGCACAATCCCCGCCATTCTACAAAGCGGTGCGCCAACGGATGGCCTCGCGCGAGCCTGGCACACGCAATTCACACGCTCTCTGTATATCCCATCGACAGCCGTCGTCATGGCACTCAACTACTTCTACCTGGCATATCGACACCGCTCCGTGGGACGCGAGTGGCGGGGATATGCGAGCGGTGGTGTCGCGAACTTGCTGCTGTTGCCGTTTACGCTGGTTTTCATAGTGGGTATCAATAATACGCTAATAGCATCCTGTGAGTGCCCGGCCACTTTCTTTCACCATGATTCCTACTTTCTCACTTTTCTGTTTTTCAATCCCTCCCGTAAGAGGATTCCACCTCGAGAAATCCTGAGTAAACATCAGATCCCTTCTCATATTGTCTTCGCCGAAGCAACTCACTAATAATCCATTTCTATTGTAGTGAAGGACCAAAATACACTGAGCCTCGGTGCTGTGAAACATCTCATCAAGAGGTGGGGGGATCTGAATTTCTACCGTATCTTCATGCCCCTTGCTGGCGCTGGGCTAGGGCTCTGGAATCTCCTGGCACAGTAGAAGCCATACCTCAAGCGGGATCTCGGAACGGCAAGCCGCGGTTGATTCACCGGGTTGGCGTCTATTCCGATATATTTCGGGATTTATGAGCAGACTTGACTAAGTAATATGTCACCCGCACGGAGGTTGCAGGAATGACAGTAAATCTACCGTGCAACATGGGCCAAAGAGGTCTCTACACTTTGTCCGGCTCCGAGATGTTTGATTGGGGGTATTGTAATCGAGGAGAACTGCAGTTTAGTAACTACCAGCAGCGCCAAGCGGTACGGTTCAGGTCCTAAAATGACCTAAGGAATTAGCTGACCACGTATGCACGAGATGGTATGCAATCTCGATTTGCTCTACTGATTGTTAGAAAGCACTTCGTTCGAGTAAGTAAGTAGTATTAGTAACTCATTTATTGCCGCCACCAAAGGAACCAAACGCATTTAGCCAACAACGTCATCATCAGGGATATGTTATATACACGTGTAAAGCAAAAGCAACAATAATAAGTAAATTGTGTTCGAAATAAAAGAACTGCTCAATGACACTTAGGTTACACTAGTATACGTTGGCGGCCCGTGTTATGTTTGTAAGTGGAATAGCGAAGTTTCTGTAAAGGTTATAGAGACTTCCACTGTGAGGGGATAATGGATTATAGGCACTGTCCATTGTACCTGCTGCCACAGCCCCCTTAAATTAGCCGCTTGACATAGTCCGCGCCTAGCGCTTCTAGTTTCTCAACTAAAAAAAACTTGGCCAGCTTCAGACTCTCTTTACTCCCAGCAACTGATTTAGATAAATAAGAGCGAGAAAAAAATGGAAAAATTAATGACCTCGCTGGGGGTCGAACCCAGAATCTCCTGATAGCGGCGTTGTGAGTTCTGAATTCACAACCATCGTAGTCAGACGCCTTGCCATTGGGCCACGAGGCCACTCGTGTTATTTGATGGAAGACATGGTTACAATTTCACTATATAGTTTTTAGCTAATTACTAGGATAGTCCGGGACAGCTCTGACTAGGTAGGCAGCCAAAAAGAGGATCTGATTACGATTATGTTGAGTTAAGTTATTTCCCAAGCTTTTATGGTACTTCGAGTGTTTAATGGTATTTGCTCTACAATATCGACAACTTTAATTAGAATGTATTTAACAGAAGTATAATTAATGTAATCCCGTACGTCCTAATATTGCCACTTAGCTATCTAATACTTACTTTGTGCTGATATGATTGTTGCTATCGCACCAATTAGTACGTCTCTCCGACGAGTCATCATCATGCTATTTCTTCCGCCTCCTCAACAACCCATATCCGTAAAGCAACATCAATCAACGGTTTACCTACAAATATATCAAAAAAGGCTGCAATAAGAAGTCTGGCTTACTTCGAATCCAAGATGCACATAGCTCGCATTGCACTGCCAACAAATGTGGCTCAAAGTTCAAAACCAGTAATGGACTTACGTATCATATACAAAAAATACACAACTGGGTCAAAAGGAAATGTACGTTCCCAGGCTGTCAGAAGCCTTAGCATAGGGGTGCATTGAATTCTTGTTGTCGCACGAAGAAGGCTAAACTTCTTTGTGATCTAGGCTACAACAATGTACACTCCAGGTCCTTTATTTTCTAAGATCGTGATACAGCATATACCAAAGAAGAGCTTCGAGCCCATCGCGCTATAGTTCATCAGGGAAGGCCGATGCAATAATGGATTTGCAAGTATTCAAATCCCAAACCTGCCAACCTGATGGCACACGCAAGGCGAATTGTTACAGATCAGGCCCGATATCTTGTTCTGGACTACCGCCAGAACGCTACTACTTATGAACGCCGCCAGGGGTTACGCTACGCCTTAACGGCTATATAAGCACTGCACATCTACGAAGGTACACAAAGGAAACCTTCTCTCCTGAAGTTAGTTAATAAATATGTATAGCTTTATAAGACAACTATATAAACATGATTTAAACAGAGTATTATTAGGGTAATAACAACTGCATAACATGTAGTTTTATAGAATTTGAAATTTAACTTGCCTAAAGCTTTTTAAATCTTTCAATAGGAGGGAAATATGTGGCATACCCGCCGTTTGTGAGTTCCTAGGGATGCATTCGTGTAAAAGGCTTAACCGTACGGTCGTATGCTAAAGTAATAAAACCACACATAAGTAGTCATTCATTGCTGTTTGTTAGGTTTTATTTAAATCTATGCTTAGCTAAACCATATATGCATTTACAACAACAATGGTAACGATGACGACGACGATGATGATGATGGTGGTTGTGTTGTTGAGAAAAAGGAACAGTATGTTGAAAAGAAGAAACAGGTTGGAGAGAGGTCTGACCAACCAAAACCAGCTGTCGTAGGTGTGCGTGTGGGGTGGTGTACAAATTCAAAGACGAGACAACATCTTGAGAACACTGTCTATACTCGATATGCCTTAGTCAAAGAGATAGTCTTAATAGAAGAACAGCTTTCTTTTCTCTAATTAGCTGACTGAATTGAGGCTTTAAAAAGTGCATGTTTTATCTAAAGCGCTAGCCAGATATCTCACAGTTACATAGTAGTGAAGAGTTAGTTGTTATAACCTATATGAAACACAATCATTTTAACAAGCTCATTTAATATCCCTTTTCAAATATTCTATTCTATTATTGTATTCCCAAAGCTAGACACACTAACATCTAACCCCAAGACTTTATACATGCTACTCCATACAGTCATGCATGAGTTTATATTTACAGATGCGCCCTCCCGTCCAACTTCCGCCGCCTCCTCTCAACCTTAACAGCCCTCTTAAGCTCACCAGCCTCCTCATCACTAAGCGTGGCATCGACCTTACTCTCCGGCGCCGCAGCCTTCTCAAAAAGCTGCGCGCCTAGCGCATCCGTGAGACCCAGCACGCGCGTGCTGACAGTCGCACCATCGCGGCGGTTCTTTCCCTCTCGTCTACTGGAGGCGATCCGCTCGATGAAATCCCACAGCCTGCCCTCGGCGAGCAGGGCCCCTGAATCGGGGTTGCGCAGCGCCCTCCATTCGGAAGACAGGCGTAGGCGCGGTGGTGATTTGCCGTCTTTGGATTTCACGGCGTAGATTATGCCTTCTTCTTCGAAGCGCTGGTAGCTGTTTTTTATTGTTTCTCGGTTTACGGATTCGAAGTAGCTAAGATCGCCTTGGTGGTATAATGTCTTGCCGAGCTAATACCATAGTTAGTAACATATTAGTTTTGTTTGGCTGGGTGATCACTGAGCGTAATATCTTGGAAACTTACAAGTTGCGCCGTGTTTTGGGCTTGGGCAACCTCAATCCATATCTCCTCTTTCTGGCGAACTGGTGGAGTAAGTCCCATCAGCGACACTGCTGCCAACCAGCTTGACTCAATAAAAGGCCAGATCAAGAAGCAGTAAAAGTCGTAATTTTCTCGACCAGCCAGCCTCTCCTCATCAGAGAGTCCGATACTGCTGATCTCCCCCTTTTCATTTCTCTGTATCTTGATCACTCGGTCGTTCTCCAGCCCAACCAGAGTCTTCTCCAGATTCGCCGCTAAGCCCTCGCTCGGGAATATGAATTCGCCGCGGAAAAGTGAAGAAAGAAATAGGACCTGCTCTCGGAGAGCCGTGTAGGATATGTCCTGATGCGCTGGACCACCGCCTTGCTTGACCCTCGTGTACATGCTGACACTGACCAAGGCCTCCGAGATGAAGAGGTGAATCGTCATGTTGCGGTAGAAGGAGAGTTGGAATCTGTCCACCGCATAGTAGGTCGGCTCTGCCAAGCCTTGGACTTCTCCCACGAGGTCTTTACCAAGCACCTCTAGACCGCGCCTCACAACTTCTACCAAGGGGGCATTTCCGAAGTGAGCGACGCGGCCTCCTTTAGCACGCACACGCCCTATTAGCCACTCAATGCGTCGCAGCAGTTCTGCCTTGCCCACGCCGCGGCCTCTTAAAGTAAGGAGCACGGTACCGATGAGGGCGGTAGGCATGACTACCGACACATCGTTGATGTCGGAAAGAACCCTATAGCCCATTGTTCTCAGTAGTTTCTGCTTTAGGACAGCATTTTCTGGTGTTTTCGCAGTAAAGTCTTCGGTTCCCGGAGTCTTATTGAGCTTGATTAACTGTTCGTCAATGTATTTCCGTAGGCTCCAGGGCTCATGGAAACGGACATCGACCCTCCCTAATTTAAGGGACAGCACAGACGATCCGCCAGTGAGGAAATCAGCCAAGTTCTCTTTCTTTTTTGGGACACCCAAAAGTTCCGTAACGTATCCCTCAGTCTCGATGACCTTGTCGTACTGCGTGCTCACGGGGCATATGATGGCATCTTTGACACGGCCAGACAAGATGCTGTCTAAAATGAAGCTCAGTATGCCGAATTTGGGAGGCAACAATTTGCCAGTGCGTGATCGACCGCCTTCTATAAAACATTCGAAGTTATAGCCGCCTTGGAGCATGGTGTCTATGTAGGCTTGTACAAGAGTGGTATACAGGGTATCATTGCCGAAAGATCTTCGAATCCACATGGCACCTGGAGTTGTGAGTGTCGGACCGGGACCTGGACGAGTCAGGGGGATACTCACCAGCGTGTTGCAGAAAGCTCCCCACCACGGGGAAATTCAGATTATCTCCCGCCACGACAACAGGTAAAGCCAGGCCCAAACGATAACAGATCAACTGCATGGAGACATAATCGACATGTGAACGGTGAGACGGTAGAAATATAATGCTCTGTTTGTTCTTCTCGGCCTCCTCGGCTACTTTCCTCAAACGTAGGACCTCCTCGCTGGAAACATGGATGCCTTGATAAAGTATTTAGTATAGGAGCTAGAATGTGTCGTTAGGGTGAGGCCCCTGACCTTGATGATAAGCCCGCGTCAGCAACTGCGTGACTAGATAGTAGGCTCCTCTGATGAAAGTCTTGCTCTCAAATTTGCAGATCATGTCATCCGTCATCTTGTCGGCCACATCCCGTATCCCCGATTCGATGACGGCCCGTCTATGCGCGCGCTTGACAGCATAGTCCTTGTCGTCTTTCCTCAACCAGCCCTCTTTCTCTTCCACTTCCAGGCGCTTGTTGGCGAGCTCGGATATGCGCGTCCGTAGCAGAGGCGCGGAAACAACCGAGTTCCTCATCTGCTCGGAGAAACCAGAGTAGTATATGGGGCGGCCGATGAAGTTGTCGTAGGCGCGCCAGCCGGTGCCGGACACGTGGAGAGAAACTTCGCGTAGGAATCGCAGCGGCTCGGAGCGGAAGCGGGCCATGTTCTTCATGAGGGCCTCTTCGTCGTCGTCGCCGGCGGGGCGGGTCTCGACATAGCTCCGTGGCTGCAGCGTGATCTGATCGCCTAGGATCTGCAGGTCAGGCGCTGAGTCGCGCGCGGAATCATCGTCTTGGGCCATGTTGGCGAGGTCTCGCGAGGCAGCTCGACACAAATTCCTCCCGTCTTAGAACTATGGCGGCTGTAGCATGGCTGGGCGCACGATGGGCGGGAATCGAATCACGCGGCTATAAGTGACTATGCGATGCCACAAGGACAGAGTCGGTTGCTATGCGAGTTCGTATGTACCAATCGGAGGACTACTGACTATGTAGTAGCTCAGCGTTATTAAACAAGACTTGGAAGACTACGATGGCAAAGAAAGGTAAAGTCAGGTTAACGCCGGGATACCATCGCTAAAGGACGGCAAAAGAACCTCGGGACCTACCTGCTTCTACAGCAGGTATTCTGGCTTGTGATCTGGGGTTGAATCAGTGCTAAAGTGGCTAAAGTCTGGGGCATGCAGGGAAATTACAGTGTCCACCCCACCTAGCCGTTAATTGTGCATACCTACACCACGCTAAACTAGGTACCTAGGTAGGTAACATCAGCATCTGAACATTTGTAAAGTTACCTCTTACAACTCAACTTCTTACAACATAGGTATTTAA